GTGTGTGTGTGTTTCCTTTTGTTCTTTGCGTTAGGGGTCGTGTATAGTGGGCCACGTATGTGTGCGCTTCGCGAGTGGGTTCTTGAGATATTGTGAGGGGGTTACCGGCGGCTTTTGTGTGATTGGGTGCTTTTGGGGGGCTTGGGAACGTTGGCTTTTGGATTGGGGCTCTTTTTGTCTGTGACATGTCACATGGATGCACCATCGGCCGCGAAGAATGTCTCAACATGAGAGGGAGAAAAGGCCCATGGAAAGGCTGGCATGGATCCCTCGAATTGAACAAATTGTAAAACACAAATAGAAACAAAAGGCCATGCAATACAACTAATATATGAAATGTGTCGTTGGCCCAAAAGATGTTACAGTATTTATTTTTTCTTATGTGGATATGTGTTGCCGGCTTTAAAGCCTTTCTGGATTGCTTCACCGTGCTTTCCGTGCTAATCGTTTCATCCTCACGTCCATCGGCCCTCGACGGAGGCGTGGCAACACGCGCGATGACTTTCTCGCCAGCCTCAACACGGAGATGCCGGCGCCCAGCTTCCCGCGCCTGCGAGGTGTGACCGGGCGGATGACACCGGTCGGGACCAGGTTTAGGGCACCCGACTGGAGGAGGAAAGCGTGACATGGGTATGTCATGCGGAGAAGAAAAAGATTTGATCAGCAGAAGAGAGAGACATTTTCATGGTACACTTGCCAGAAGGAAAAGAGGGACCCAACAATGTGTCACACATATGTATTTACTTGCTCTGTGATGTCCTCTGAATCCCTTGCATGTCAACCCTAACAATTGCACTGGCAAGCTGGTCAGTGAAATGGAACTGGTTGGGTGGGTTGTGCCAGATACCCACTTTCTAGCTGTTTCTTCTGGATGAAGGTAGGTTCAGGTGACACGGTGACACGACCGATCGGCTCGAATGACACACGCGAGGACCGTCAGGGGCATCTTCGGAGACCTCTATAGCGTTTGTTCCGTGTCCATGTGGGCATCCATTATATGGGATGTGCATTAGATTGCTCCGTCGAGTACATGGCGGGGCTTTGGGATTCTTCCTTGAGCCATTCCTCCCGACCCACTTCGTCCCTTCGCCAGGTAACGCGAACCTCCTCCGCACGGGCATCTCGGGTCTCAGCGGCCCGACTGCGATGCCCACGAGCGCCGGCTATCCGAGCATCTCCGCCAGCACCTCGGTGGAAATGCCCAATGCCGGTGCCTTTAGCACAGGCCGGAGTGCGTTCTCAGCGCTTTCTCAGCGCGGCACGGGTGGAAGAGCGTGATCAGCACGGAGCGTGGGGTGCGGATGGGCTCATCGGTTCTAACAGGGTGTGCAGCCCAAGATCTGAAATAACTCACCTGAGGCCTGGCGCTTCTGAGTTCCTGGCAAGTTTGTAGGGTGTGTTTGATCTCTTTGGAACCATGATGAACCACTGAGAATGATCATCGACTAGAATATTACCTGGTTCTTCAAAGTGACACTGGTTGAGGTATGTTGAGGTCACTTAAGACTTAAGCCTCTAAAGGGTCACTGGCTGGGACCCTCAAAAGATCAAATTGAAGAAGCTCGTTTGTGAGGTGTGAAGATGGCTGTGGAAGATGGCCTTTCCTCGCTTGATAGTTCCCACTATGTGAAGATGTTGGACTGCGACTAGTTGGCCATCTTCAGTTTGCGACTGCCTTTGGTCAAACTTTGGTCATGAAAACCGTACATGAGGATTAATTGGTTGGGTGTCGAATTGATTTCATCTTTGATTTGTTTCATCCAATCGATCACATGGGGAGGTTTATTCTTCCCACTGGTCACGAGGCTGACTTTCCGACTGGTCACCCGGTTCTGATTGCAGACAACCGTGCTGAACTGGGGCACTCAAAGCCGCACTCTCTTCTGGTGGACCGCGGTCGCCACACACCGGGGGGAGTCGGGTTGACCACGAGAAAATGAACAGAACATATGCAGATACATCTACTATCTATCTAGATCTATCAATCTATATTAGATAAAATTGTGTTTGTATCTAGCTAACTAACTAGCTAGCTAGCTAGCTAACTAACTACGGAGGTCAACCTACAAGGGTGTTTTCCGGTGACGCTCTGGCGGATCATGTCTTCATCGCTTCATATCCTGCCGTTGCCGGAGACTCTGATGAGCGGGTACTATTTGGGGGACCTATCAAAAAGGGCATGACAGAGAATGAACGCATCGAACACGGACTGTGGACATGCGGTATCTCAGTATCTCGCATGAAACACAAGTGAAAGGCAGAACTGTACGGCCTTTGGATGAAGGGCCATGGAATTCATCACTCTCGAAATATAAAAACATCCCGTGACTTGCCGTGTAAAAAGCCTGCGGCGGCAGGTGGTCTATCTGAGATGCCCTCAGCGGCTTGGGAGTCCCACCTCAAGGTGCCCAGCAGCTTTGGAATGCCCAGTAGCTTTGGAATGCCCAGCAGCTTTGGAATGCCCAGCAGCTTTGCAATGCCCAGCAGCCTGGAAATACCCAGCAAAGGACTGCGACACGGGAGTTCACCTGCTTCACCTGGCTCACCTTTTCTGATGTGGGCGCCCTCTTGGTCTTTTTGGAACGGTGTCACAGATATAGGACGGAATTGGGATTGAAGAATTGAAAGATTTCGACTTTTAAGAGCACACAGGTGCTGAAGACCGTGCCCCGCAGCCTTCACCATCCATAAATCCTTTGTTTGCCAAATGAACTTCTGTAGGACTGGAGCCGGAGCCTGGCTTCATGTGGAGATCGCCCACTTGCTGATGCCAGCGCGTGGACGTGTAGATTTCAAGGGCGGAGGAACCAAGAGTCAGATGCCTTGTCACTTACAGTAATTGCCGTAGTTCAATTAGGAGGAACTGGTATAACTTCTCATTTCAATCTCATGTACATTTTACTAAAAATGTATGTGACTAACTTAGTGACATGATGTGAACTTTTGCTGCGTATCTCTCTAGTATTTGGCGGAACATACCACCGGATCCCGGACGGATCTCCTGGCCCGGCTCGTGTTTTCTCTTGGGCGGCAGGAGCGGAGATCTTGCGATCGAACTGGAGACTCGGACGGTGTCCTTAATGTGGCAGCAGAGTCTACCGTTTTGGGTCTCAAACATGTGGAGTGAATGTATTTTTGGGGGCTTGGATCCAAGCTCGCAGGGTTGGGACATTATGCCTATATTGCATGACCTCAATTGAAGTAGCTCTCAGTTGGTTCAGAGGTTGGACGATTCAACAAAGTCGGTTCGAGTACTGAGATGATGGGCAGATTGCTTCTGTGCGGATCCGAGTCTCCCGTTCAATTTCATCCCATCGCCAGGCTCTTTTTAGTCTGCGCAGATTGTGTCACCCAAAATAGAACCACACTTGTGTGGAAAAGAACCTGCGAGTCAGCATGCATTGACAAGAGTTGATTCCATTCCTTTGGACACCTTTGATTCAGGCCGGCAGTTTTGTCAATTGTTTGGCTCAAATGGAGGTTATGGATCTTGCTCATACAAGTATAGATAGGGTGTAAACCACTACCAGTAAAAGTTGGTAAGATCGTCACTGTTTGGGTGAAAGGTTTGCAACCTAAGCATCATTTGCCCGCATAAACACTTGGTAAAATTATATACACCTGATATAGTACAACTTCTAATCTTTACTCAATGTACACACCAATTCATGTCAAAACACCCATGAATCCGAGACGGAACACCGCGGGGCCGGCAAGCGGGGTCCACCGCCGATGCTTTTTTGTTTTTCGGATGGTATGGCTTGGCACGTTGTATGGTGTAGATTCATGTTTTTTGTAGGGAAGCTATATTTTGAACGTGTTGGACATCCTCTTCGTTTTATAGAGGTAATAAGAGGGTAAATGGATTTGACACTCAAACTTCCTGAGCGTTCCTTCTATCGAATGATGTTGTGTAGGACCCCACCTGTGAACTCGTGGGGTATCGTCATAGCTTGACTTAGTGGGTTTGGTCATATGACCAAAACAACCCATCGCAATTACCAAACAGACATGTAGGTTGGGTCGGTCCTATTACCTGTAACAGTCAGTAAACAAGCAAATCACATATTATCACTAATTATTCGTGGACAAGGCCTGCAACCTAACCATCATCATCTATTTGGCCCTGCTAATAGGATAGACCCAACATGTTGGGAGAGTTTTCCTTTTGATGAGTTCACCCTTCACCTATGGCGAAGTCCTAATTCTCACAGACTCAGACTGAGAGGTCTCACAGACTGAGCGCAAGCAGCAGATGACGTAGAAATGTGAAAGAGGTCAAGATCGATTCTTAAGAGATTCTTCAGACTTATGTCATGTACATGGTGGAAGGATACGGACCACGCCACCTTCCACGTCACCTTTGTGGGTGCAGAGTCATTTCCTCCAAGCTGAGCTCCTCCACCGAGTCGAAGCCAGGGCACATCGACCATCGATTTGGCCAAAGCTCGTTGGGTGTACTCCATCCTATGCGGGGAGACCCATCCTGCCGCTGAAAACTGGAGACATGGACCATGTGCCATCTCAGATCTGAAATTTGCTGAGGCACAGCGATGGCCAACCCGGCATGATGCCCTGACGAGGTCGTCTCCTTTAGTGGACAGGACGGGAGAGAGCCGAGTGAGAGAGAGAGAGAGAGAGCCAGAAGCTACAGCGCTGCAGTTTGGAGTGACATGGAGCAATTCACAGGTCTCTTGGGGTTCTCACCCACTCACGTTCCACGGACGTGGATGGCACCCCCTGGTGAACTAGAACGAAAAGCGGTCTTCCCGGGGTCGCAACCTATGCCATACACTGCCATACACTTCCACCGTTGGAACCGCCGGTGTCTTCTTTTGGCTGGGACGGTGACATCCCATTCCAGGGACCTAGGTGCATTTTGGAACAGATGGTGCAGAAAGAACGTGCCTATACTTGTTAAGCACCTGGACCTGGAGCAGAACATAGCAGAACCAATTTGTTTTGCCAAAAGGATCGTTTATAGGTCCTATAGGTATTGTACATTGTATATGTTTGGGTTGTCAGCCCTGCCTTGCAGATGAAAGACCCAGTGGTCACGTGCTTGGGGACAAGTTAAAAACGCGTTGCTTACCAGGACTTTACCGCTAATTAAGCAGCTATAAGCATCCAATTTGCACACGGATCAGTTTGAATGCAGCATGCATCACAGATTTTGAAGCAACACTGTCCGGACGGCTGAAATGTTGGCTCAATGCAGCTGAGCACCTGGGGAGTCTTCTGGGCTTTGCCGGGTCTACTCAATCTGCGTAAGGCAAAATGCTGCAGGAAAATCTGCTGCATTTTTAAATCTAAAGTAATTACATCTGCACAGTTCACCACTTGCATTTCATTATTCCTTTCCCAGAAAACACCGCTCTCCAGCGATCGGCACCGGTTTGTGGTGTTTAGCTCTGGTCAGTGGGGACTTGATGCCGGACATGCCGCGGACATGCCGCGGACATGCCGCATTGAACATCCTTCGAGTCTCTGGACCGATGAGGCCTGAGAAGCATGCTTCGCGGTGAGCACGCGGTGAGCGAGGTGGATATGAGGCTGGAGACATCCGGAGACCGAAAAAGCTGCTTCGAAGCGAAACGGATTGCCACAGTCCAAGAGAAAAGGGACTCAGAGAAAAGGGGCCGGACACCCAAAGAGTGTGAGGTCATTGAGTCAAACATTCCGCGTACGCCTTGTCGAAGACGATCCCAGAGAGTTGGAAGATGTGGTGTTCAAGTATCCCAGCTTTGGTCGCCTAGCTCATTCAGAGATCTGCATTGACCAAGTACGATGTGGCCAGAGCTCCATGCTGCTGATGTTGCCAGGAATCAGCTTCAGCGGAGAAGCTGCTTTTCCTTGACCTGAAGGTGTGGGTTTCTTTCTAAAAAGATGTCTTGAAGTTAACGAGGAAGAACCTGGCCTGTTCATGTTTGTTTCTAGTTTATTTTGGTGTTGACTCATCCAGGCAGCTGGGTTTCCTGAAGTGAGTTTGTCTCCGGCTTGAACTTTACAAGCTTAGGCAATTTGAGAACAGCCGCCTACCATGGAGAAAACCGGTATATCTATAGTTACCTTCCTAAGCTTTTTGCAGCGCATGTAGTGGTCTACTGTTCCAGCGTCTTCGCTCGCTCGCCGCTTGTTTCGCTCGTCCGCTCTCTTGGAGCTCGTTCGCTTCGGCCAGGCTTCGGCCAACGAGTCGACGCGCCGTTGGAGTCTGAGAGAAGAAGTCGAACGCTGGTCTGGGATGGTTTGGGGTTCTGGTCGCCAGAGAACGACAGCAATATCTGAGGACTCTGTACATCCAGCAGGATCTGATCTATAGACTATAGACTCTATAGTGAGGGGTCAAAATGAACCGGAAGATTGTGAAACGAAAGCTTTCCATTTGACACCACAGGTTGTCTTCATCGCCTTTTTTGCCCGGTTGTTAGCCGTATCGTGTGTAGTATATCGATCATGTTTGATAGTTATTTGGCCGAGAAGATCTTGGTTGCCCAGAGCATCCATGGGACTGTGTTACATAAATCATACTTGGGTCTGTCATACCTGCAACAGTCGGTAACTAGCTATATACCTATCTCTATTTTATACTGTTAACGTTTTAGAGAAAGGCCTTTACCATCATTCATGGCCCATGCAGGTTGTAACTCTTCCAGTCCCATGGCCCATTCGGTCTTGGATGGAACAGTTTGGGATTCGGCAAGGCGAAGAGGCTTTGCTTGAAGCCTCAAGAAGGCAGGGAAAGGCAGGATGCGGAGCGAGTTTGTTGCCTTCTTCCCGCAAAGCTGATTCCTTTTGTCCTGTTTGATTAGTTTGTCCCCAGATTCATGTTTGAAAAAAGGCGGAAAAGTAGATTCCGCACGAAAAATGTTTCGGATACCGTTTCTATCTATATTGGGTTTCACTATATAATTATACATGTACAAGTACATGCACATACTGTACTAGTATATAATATATGTTCTGCTTTGAGCTTTGGCATTTGTGAGCATGAACACCATGGCGAGCGTGTCATGTCCTCAGCTGTGTGCGGCTTAAACCCGCTGCGTCCTCCGCGCTTTGGGCCTGGTCTTCTGGCCTTCCCGTCGCTCCAAAAATCCCGTGGAAACGGCCTCCATCGACACGTTTTTGGGCCCTTCGGCATGGTGTTGCGGAAGGCGAAGTTTTCACGGCAAGGCACCTTTGCTCCTCAAGACTCGGACATTCTGAATGCCATTGATCAAAAGTTTGAAGAGATGGAAGAGACCATCATCTTGGCATCTTTAGTTCCACAACTCCATGAACGTCTACATGCAGTGGAGCAGATGTTGAGAATCGATGTCGCGGCCATGTGGAGTCCCGACAACGTGCAACTCGACATGGAGACCGAACCGAAGCCACCGAAGCCCATTTGGGGCGAGGAGGCCTCTCCCAAAGCTTCTGCACAAGCCAAGTCTGCGTCCGAAAAGGACTTCACTCCAGTCAATTTGGAGAGCACGAAGTCCGAGGCGAAAGTCGAACCGAATGTCAGTGATCTGACATCCATGACCCCGGCTTCCAAACGTGCCAGTGTGCCCAAAGTCATTGAAATCTCACGATCCAAGGTGAAGGAAATGGATGAGAAGACCTTGGATACGCAGACCTGTGAGTATTACACCTTTGGTGAATCCACGTGGGACTTGGTGATCTTCATCGGGACTGGTGCTTTGGGACCCTTTGGCTCCTTCCAGACCTTTCTTTTGGCCATCGTGAATGTGCTCATGCAGGTGGTCTTCGTGGCCATTGCGTACTACAACTTCACCACACCGGACATCAATGAGAGCTCCATCGTTGACAGTTTGAGGTGTGATGTCGTGTTTTTTTGCGCGCGTTTTTGTGATAGCCACAGTATACAAACTCCCTGAGATAATCAGGGTTACGTAGATGGCATTGCCCCTGGGAAGACTATAGGATGACTATAGGTGGTGAACTCGACTTACTTCCGTGATGAGTTCAGGGTGTTATTTCATAGACCCCCCAATGTCAGTTGTGCACACCACTGGGTTTGCATCTTTCTATACACAACACGCCGTACTGACTACTGGGTCGGCCACGCTCTACTGGGGTCGGCTTGTCTAGACATCTCTAGAGGTGGAAAGTGTTCCGAGGTTTCTTGTACCACCTCTGATCTGCTGAAAGGTCCTAGACAGGTGGAGTAGATCATGGCAATTCATGCCAGCCTCATTCACCCTCAGCCGTCGACTCATCCCACGGGAAACCGGGCGCCCCGGTGGCCGGGTCGACAACCCGCCGGACACCCGGTGCACCGAGCGTCCAGGTGGAGGAGATCGTCTGGGCATTCCTTTGCGGACTACAGCCTTGTGGCCAAGGAGTCATTGGTGCATCGAGTGTGCAAGGAG